TGAATTATGTAAGACTGGTGATGCACAGACCGTACCCCTAAAATAAATAATACACTCTATGTTAATAAAAAAAAGAGGTTGTTACAGTGGACCCTAATCTGGTGTCCTTAAAAGGAGAGGAAATTTGGACACAGGAAGGTACAGAGTTAAGATAATGTAAAGATACAGAAATAAGACGGAGCATCAACAAGCCAAGAGTCTGGAACAGATTCTTTCCTCAATGCCTTTAGAAGGAATCAACCTTCCTAACACCCTGATCTTAGACTTTTACCCTTTAGAACCCTGGGGAAATAAGTTTATGTTGTTTAAGCCACCCAGGTCGTGGTACTTGGTTACAGCAGACTTAGTAACTAATACCACCCTTTTTCTACCGCTTTTAGGCATCACTATTTCTCATCTTTCCTTCAGAGACAAATTCTCAATGAGTTGCCCATACTCAGTGTCTCCCTCACTACACTTCACTGTCATTCCAAATTCACTCCAGTGTGCTTTACTCCATGCTCAGGGGTCACCAAGTGGCCTCAATCTTATACATTATAATGGACATGTTAAGTTGTCCTTTTATTTGATCTTTCAGCAGCATTCTACAAGGATCCCAATTCCATCCTGAAATGCTTCCCCTGGCTTCCATGACACAGAACTCTTCACACTTTTCTCCTCCATCTCTGGCCAATCCTTCCCTTCTTTTCAGGAGTATGCTCCTCTATCTTGTCATCAAATGCTGGAGTTTCTCAAAGCTCAGTCAGAAAGCCTTCTTTTCACATACTCGTAGGACCTTCCTTGGTCAACTCTCACCCACATCAATGCTTTTAATTGCCATTCATACACGATGACAAACAACTAAGTCACCAGCCCAGACCTATGTGGGGCTACCCTTCCATATTTTCTCTTAGTGTCTCAAAGTCACCTCAAATTCAACAAGTCTAAGCAACATCAGAAGAATGAAACTAGACCACTTTCTTATACCACACACAAAAATAAATTCAAAATGGATGAAAAACCTTAATGTGACACAGGAAACCATCAAAATCCTAGAGAACACAGGCAGAAACCTCTTTGACCTTGGACATAGAAATTTCTTATCAGACTTATCACCACAGGCAAGGCATACAAAAGCAAAAATGAACTACTGGGACTTCATCAAGATAAAAGGCTTCTATAGCAAAGGAAACAATCAACAAATCTAAAAGGTGGTCTACAGAATGGGAGAAGATATTCACAAATGACATATCTGATAAAGGGTTAGTATCCAAAATTTACAAAGAACTTATCAAACTCAACACCCAAAGAACAAATAATCCAATCAAGAAATGGGCAGAAGGGGCGCCTGGGTGGCTCAGTGGGTTAAAGCCTCTGCCTTCCGCTCAGGTCATGGTCTCAGAGTCCTGGGATAGAGCCCCGCGTCGGGCTCTCTGCTCAGCAGGGAGCCTGCTTCCCCCCTTCTCTCTGCCTGCCTCTCTGCCTACTTGTGATCTCTCTGTCAAATAAATAAATAAAATCTTTAAAAAAAAAAAAAAAAAAGAAAAGAAAGAAAGAAAGAAAGAAAGAAATGGGCAGAAGACATGAATAGACACTTTTCCAAAAAAGGTAATAGACACATGAAAAGACGCTGGACACCACTCATCATCAGGGAAATACAAAACAAAACCATGATGAGATACCATCTCACACCCCTCAGGATGGTTATAATTAACATAAGAAATAACAGGTGTTGGCAACGATGCAGAGAAAGGGGAACCCTCTTGCACTGTTGGTGGGGATGAAAACTGGTGCAGCCACTCTGGAGAACAGTATGGAGGATCCTCAAAAAGTTAAAAATAGAACTACCCTATGACCAAGCAACTGCCCTACTAGGTATTTACCCAAAGGATACAGTGATCTGAAGGGGTACACACACACCAATGCTTATAGAAGCATTATCAACAATAGCCAAACTATGAAGAGAGCCCAAATGTCCACCCACAGATGAATAGATAAAGAAGATATCGTATAGGGGTGCCTGGGTGGCTCAGTTCAATTGTCTGTCTTTGGCTCAGGTCATGATCCCAGGGTCCTCAGCAGGGAGTCTGCTTCTTCCTCTCCCTCCAGCCTTCCCCTGCCCCCATCCCCCTGCTGCTCATGCTCCCACGTGCTCTCTCTGCCCTCTCTTAAATAAAATATTTAAAAAAAAAAAGATGTGGTATATATATAATATATATATTATATATATATGTGGAGTATTATTCAGTCATCAAAAAGAATGAAATCTTGCCATTTGCAACAACATGGATGGAACTAGAGTGTATTGTGCTAAGTGAAAGAAGTCAGAGAAAGGCAAATAACTCATATATGGAATTTAAGAAACAAAACAGATGAACATATTGGAAGGCAGAGGGGAAAGGAGAGAAGGATACAAGCCATAAGAGACTCTTAACCATAGAGAACAAACTAAGGGTTGATGAAGGGAAGTAGGGTGTGGGATGGACTAGATGAGTAATGGTTATTAAGGCAGGCACTCATTATAATGAGCAATGGGTGTTGTATGTAAGAGATGAATCACTGAATTATACTCCAGAAACCAAAATGGTACTGCATGTTCGTTACTTAAAATAAAAAAACAAAAACAAAAACAAAAACCAACATGTCTAAAACCAAACTTATGATTCTCTATACCCTTTTTCACCCACAACTAAACCCAAATCCTGTCCAGTGTTTCCTAACTGAACAAGACCACCCATCAAGTCTTACAAATCAGAAAAATGATTCATCTCTGATATTTTCTTCTTACCGTTACTCCCACCACTTTCCTTATTGGGACTTGGCACAATTGCAATTTTACAACTATTTGTGTAATTATGTAATTATGCACCATAAAAGTGGGAATGCAGTCTATTCTTACTCACCATTATATTCTACCTAGCACGAAGTCACATTATTGTAGACATTCATTTTTTGAATGAGTGAGCAAATATCAGGTATTATTTATAGAAAATTCATTATATGCTAAGTACTAAATATTTTATAAATATTATTTTCTTTAATCTTTGTAGCAGCCCTATTAAGTTGGTATTATTATTGTTGTTGTTGCTGTCATCCTCAGTTTACTGAGGAGGAAGCTAGGGCACTGAGAAGTTACATTTCCTTCCTGAGAAAGTAAATAACTTGGAAGTAGTAGAAAAAGGTGGACCCAGATCATGTGAGAGACTTGTACACCACTACGTTATTCTGTATTTGTGGTTTTCAAAGATACTCTCAAGCTACTTGGCTGAAGTTTATCTACCTATACTATCTATACTATCTGTAAACTATAAATCCTATCTATAAGTTATAAATATATTACAAAGAAAAAGCTATCTACAATTAATGTATGCTTGGAAATCTTCAGTGTATACATGGCTATCACAAGAAAGATTAAATCTCTTTGCCTGGAATTCAAGATCATCCATGATCATCTTCTTCCTTTCAAGCCTTTTCTACTCTAACACCCTGATGTTCTAGTCAGGCGTCAGCAAACTACTGCCTGCAGGCCAATTTTGACTACCCATTATGTTTGTAAATAAAATTTTATTTTAGCACAGCCACACACATTTGTTTATATGATGTCTACACACTACAACAGCAGGGCTTCACAGCCATAGCTGTAAGAATTGTACAGTCCACACAGCATAAACATTTACTATTTGGCCCTATTTTATAGGAAAAGTTTGCCAACAATGGGACCAGACTTACAGACTAGAGTCTCGTACAATGGAAATAAATGTAATAGATACCATTAATCCAGCACTGGATTCTTTCAACAAACCTTTCAAAAGAGGTCTTGTTACCCTTGTTTCAGTTAATGAAAGAAGGAAGGAAGGGAAAGAAGAGAGGGATGTTAAAAAAGAAGGAAGTCTGTTTGAGTTTGAGGCACAAGTTGGTGAATAATGTGACCATGATCACAGTAAGTACATGGAGGAACTGGGATTTAAATCATACTTACTGACCATGCTTTATGATTCAAAGGCCAAAAACTTCCCACGGTGCCTGACTGCTTGCTTTTTCCTCCACAGAACTTGGGATTTCATGCACTGGTGTTTATTTATGCTATCCTTTCTCTTGCATATAATAATGCCAATTCTTCTTTAAAACTTAAAGGAGATGCCTAGTGAAATCTTTACACATTCTTGGAGAAAAAGCTCAACTACTACCTCCTCTGCTAAACCTTCCTAGATCCCCTGCAGTCAGGGGAATAGTCCCTCTTATAGATGCCCACAACACTTCTGTCTTCAGCTTTAACACTTAAGATTTTATCCCTTTAGCTTAATTTTAGCAAAAACCAAAACTATCTCTATATTCTATAGAAAACCCAGCACAATGTCTTCTACATTTCATTGCTGGATTTTTTAGGTAAAACATTTAACATTTATTTCTTAATTCAACAGAGGAAAATCAGAATGTGGTCTAAGTAACAGAAATGTCTTAGTATTGAGTTTCAGTATTTTTAACCTACTGTTTTTATAAAAATCAACTCTCAAAGGAACTAATAAAAATTCCTAAGTATTAAATACATTAAAGGTTTCTAGCAGCATCAAAAAATAATGAAATCTAATATTAAAATTCCTTACATTTTATGTCATCATTTTGTTAGGAAAGAAAACCTCTTCATAATGCCTAAATTAAAAAAATAACACTAACAAGTCATTAGAAATTAAGGATAACTTGATCATCATTAATAAAGTGTTACTTATTGCAAGAATGTAGAGATCATAGGTGATATTTTCCAACAACCAGTTACTTTTAAAGTTCATAATGATAGAGTAAAATGAATATTCAATGTCATCATTGTAGAAATAATATAGTTTTAATGCAAATATTATTTGTAAAAATGTACACAAAATAGTTTTAGTCTGTTTTGATAGGATTCAGGTTCTCTACACAGTATAATAAGGCCTAATATAAAATCACACAGTAGAAATTGTTTTTTAAAAACCTTAACATTTAGGTTTTTAAAAATTAAATATATTCACAAATCAGACACTTACCTGCATCACCTTCTGCTGAATCTCCTCTAACTGTGTACGTTTACTACGTTGTCTACAAACTTCCTGGTATCGAGTATATTGTTCTCTCAGAGAATCTAATAATTTCATAACCTGTGGCTGGGCCAGCAGTTCATCATCCATCGGAGACCATGAGACCCCTCCATCTGAGCCATTAAATCGACGCTGCTGTAATTCGGACAACAATTCATGCCCTTTACAAATGAAAGATACTTATAATTAATATCCTAAAGAAATACAATTCTTACTTCTCAATCTCCTCAATTTTAGGCCCTTATTTTTAGAATCTATCTGCCTATATATCTGCCTAACTAATAGGTCATAATTACTGAAATGCAATTTTTAAATTTATATAGAAATGGGAAATAGCATATTTTAGTATATAACTACATAGTATATTTATATGCTATATATCATATATATCATGAAGTATATACTATATATGCTACACTATTTAGTAAATATATGGCTTTTCTTTTTCTATATCTATCTGTCATCACATTCTTGTTATTGGTGGATTCATTATTCAGGAAACTGTGCCAACCAATCCTCTTTCTCTGTAGAGCACAATTACATACTGGGATTTCTGTCTAGTATGGTAATAACTAGTATGTTCTATTTGATAGTACTAATCAATACTAAGCAATATGTTGTAGGATTTCAGTATCAATCCATACCTTTAATCCTACTATCTAAAATAAAAGTTGACAGTGTAACAAATAAATGTATGATTAAAGGGAGAAAGCTTTATTACTGGTACAAAATAAAATTTAAATAGTTTCTATTTAAGGAGTCTCTACAACATATTAACTGTGAATCATGAGGGACTACACTAGTATAAGAAATTCATTCAATGTTATCCAATTATATCATATTCATGTAAAAATCCATTCATGCATGAGAAATTAAAACTGCAGAATATCCAACATCAAAATTGGAATTTTAAAAGTGAATAAATCGCAAACTGTTTTTCCAGGATAATACTATTCCAATTATTACTTAAGGACCAAAAATAAATGCAAATACTTAAATTCTCTTCATCTTTATTCAGAAAAATGTCCTATATTTAAATGGCTTTCAATACTTAGAAAAAGAATTTTTATCATGATTTGAAGGTATTACCAATTTCTAAAAAATACCCCAAATTGTTCTAAACCTCTCCATTTGTATATTCTCTTTTTTTCCCTACTCTAAAAGTCAAAAGCATCTAAAAAAAGATCTTAGTGGCATATAAAGCTAATTTCAAAATACAAATTTGAAAAGCTTCTTAATTCAAGGGCTTCAGTAGCTTTCAAAACATTAAATATAACAGTGGAATTAAAATTTAAACCTAAAGCAAGCCATATTTTTATTGACAGTCTACTGTACCTGCTCAACATGTAGGAATTCATAGATTACAATTATTTCCTTATTCTCTAAGGAAGATTAGTATCATACTGAAAACACTTGCCTCAACGGTATCAATACAATGAAGATATTCAAAATTACTTTCTTTACTCTTCATTACATGTTATAATTAGAAAAACAACTGTTTTAAAGACTTTTAAAGTCTCTATATATATTCACATACATTTTTTATATATATATACACGCACACATATAAAGCCATTAAAATCAGAAGCCATTTATTTTTTTCTTTTACAATTGTTATTATTCTTAATGTTTTCCATATAGAAACATTTCCGTTAGAGAAGCAGCACCATATAATGATTTCAAAGACCATACTTTGAAACCAAACTGCCTTCGTTCAAGTCCCAACTCTAGCATTACTAGTTGTGTAACTTGCATAAGTTACTGAGCTTTTTTTGGCCTCAGTTTCCCCATCTTAAACTTGGGATGATAATAGTACCTGTTTTTAGTAGTATGGTGACAGAGTTTAATAATTACTCCATCATGAGCAAGTTTTTTCATTATCTCTAAGCTTGAGCTTCCTCAAGTACAAAATAGGGAAAATGATACTAACTACGTCAAGAGGTCATTAAGGGGGCGCCTGGGTGGCTCAGTGGGTTAAAGCCTCTGCCTTTGGCTCAGGTTATGATCCCAGGGAGCCTGCTTCCCCCTCTCTCTCTCGGCTGCCTCTCTGCCTACTTGTGATGTCTCTCTCTCTGTCAAATAAATAAATAAAATCTTAAAAAAAAAAAAAAAAAGAGATCATTAAGGAGAATGGAATATAAAAACACAATCTTAGAACCCAAGGAGTATTCAATAATCCTCATAGCGATCCAATGAAATTGAAACTTATCTCAATTTCATAGACAAGGAAACAAATACAAATATTTCAAGGGAGAAATAATTTAACAATTTGTCATTATTAATACTTTCTAAAAATATTGTAAGGTATATTAACACACTGTTAGGTTAAACCAAAGGCCAGTTTTTAAATTCCCCTTGAGTTTTTGTCACATAATATATGCTTAATCAATGTTTATTTCATGAACCAATCAATATATGATTGGTTTATTGGATTTGACTGTCACCAATAAACACATTTTTTATCTTACCTGTCTGAAGAACTGTTTCAGGATCAACTGATGGAAGAAAGTTTAAATCCACAGACCTGGCAAACACCACAAGAATAACTTTTAAAAACTTTATTTTTATCTATACTACCAAAGAAAATCCTTTATGTATGCATATCAAACAGAAGTATATGGTGTTGAAATCTGAAGTATACTATTCTACCAGGCTAATGCTCTTAAGCATTAAGAAACCAATTAGATGGAACTAGAGGGTATCATGCTTAGCGAAATAAGTCAATCGGAGAAAGACAACTATCATATGATCTCCCTGATATGAGGGAGAGGAGATGCAACATGGGGGGTTAAGGGAGTAGGAGAAGAGTAAATGAAACAAGATGGGACTGGGAGGGAGACAAACCATAAGTGACTCTTAATCTCACAAAACAAACTGAGGGTTGATGGGGGGAGGGGGGTTGGGGGGGTGGGGTTATGGACATTGGGGAGGGTATGTGCTATGGTGAGTGCTGTGAAGTGTGTAAACCTGGCGAGTCACAGACCTGTACCCCTGGGGATAAAAACATATTATATGTTTATAAAAAAAAAAAATTAAAATAAATTAAAAAAAAAAAGAAACCAATTAGAGATAATTAAATACTAGTACCAAAAAAAAAACAAAAACAAAAACAAAAAACTGTGTGATAAATCATAGAATATACTACTTGAAAAAAATAGTTTATTATTATTATAGTATTATTTCAAATATATTGAAGGAATGCATTTTAGTATTTTCCCACTGCATATTTATTCCAAAATGAAATGTGTAACTATATAACAACCCAGAATGTGAACATTAAAAATGCATGAAGCCATCTTCCAATTGAGCATTTACTTATCTACAGCAACCTTTGAGAGCTACAAAGAATCTCTGATATTCATGTGCATGTGTATCCCCAAGCGGTTATACTCTCTTCCCTGTACTAAATAGTGCTTAATTTGCAGTTGGGCAATGCTCTGTATTTTTTTAAACACATATAGGAAGTAGAAATTGAAGGAAAGATAGGGTACACAGCAAATCAAAGCCTAGGACCTTGCTGCTGTAAATGACAGGTCCTGCTTTAAATCTTCCACTTTTGTCAATTAATCTGGGCCCTTGCCTCTTGTGTAGCCCGGACGTTTCTGGAATAATAACATTAAAAAGGTGATGAAAATTTCAAGTGGAGGGACTATATTATCTGGGATTTAGTGAAGGGACTTCATTATCAAGATTTTAAAAAGACTATGTAGTAACACTTGAGTTCCTTGGGGAGGAACTGGAAATACAAGATTTTATTTGATACTTCATGTAGTCACGCAAACTATAATTTCCCAAAGTGTTTCCCAAAACACTGAACAAGATATTATTAGATGGAGAAAAGGGGGTCCCACTGGCAGGTAAGTACAGGAAACAGGTTTCTTTACTGCAATGCTTTCTCAGGACCTGTAATCTATAAATGTTCACAGTCATTCTCAGAGAGGGAATATGGTAAACAGCATTAAGTTGTGACCATGAATTTGTTTTCTACAGGGACCTCTTAGGACATCTTTCCTGAGGAAAATGACTTTAAGAAGCATCAAACTTACTCTGCTGGGCTACTCAGAAAGCAAGAAGTTTGGCTAATTTTTGTCAACCAACTTGTGCGATGTTTTCAATTCCTAAGCCATAGCATGGAGTGTATGTGTTATCTATATACACACATTTATGTGTATGTCAAAATTTTATATTTTATAAAATATATTTTATAAAATTTTATATTTTTATATGATATCTACAGGACAATAATGTTCCTAAATGCTTCCTGTGACTTTAACTAGATTTCCATTCAAACCATTTGTTTTCACATTTTCACTTTGTTTTAATCAAGACTGGGTATTAAACTCTGACCTTCTCACATCCCACCTCCCTTACTATCTCAGTTAACTGGTATGTTGACTATATTTGTATTCAAGGAATAATAAGATTCATATTATCAAGGTTTCATTCCATTTTTAAGATCAGATTCAAAAGACATAGACAAGGATGAATGTTGATCCTTTCCAATTTCCTAATGAAAAATTATTGTTCTAGTAACCACTTTGTTGAGAGACCAGAAAGAATTAATTTGTTTCCTAAAAAGCTTTTAACCTGGGGAGAGGGATTTGGCTTATCAACAAAAAAATGAAAATTGTTAAGCCTGTAAAGTTCAATGGAAATCTGTTAAAATGATAAATCTAGATAGTTATATTTAGATAATACAGCTGAACAATTACTTCATCCAGAGTCAAAAACACTAAATTCTCCAAACTGAACTCATAAATATCACATATTTTATAAGGACCTAGGAGTTCTAGAAGGTAGGCATTTAAGAGGTATTTAAATAAGGTTATAATAATTTTACTTCAAGCCACAACCTTTTCCTTTATAAGCAAAGTAGAACTCTAAAAAGAAAATGGTTTCATTTTGAGAACATGTTCTTGCAGATGAATTTTTAAGGTAAATATTTTATTCATCAAAAAGCCTTTAGAGAGAAACTCTGATTCAAATCAAGAAATTTTACATATAAAGCAAATTCTCATGAATTAATAAACTTAATACAACTTTTGTATGTCAATTTTGACTGGAGAATTGCTACACCTTACCTCTTTTAGCTTGCATTAATAGAGATATTCTTCTTCAGGTTAATCACAGCTTTGCAAAGGTATAATTGCAAGACACCAGCCACCTACCTTTCTTTCTCTTGCTGATTTCCTTTATCACTTCCATTGTTAATCAAAGCAAGTTCATCTAGTAATGATGTAGATTCCTTTGTAAACTTCTCAAAAACCTACAATAAGATTTTGTTAACATATTAAGAATAATCCTGAAAGTTAGTTTACATAAGGATTTTCAGTTAAGATGAATAGAATTAGCCAGGCAGAATTCCCTTTTCCTCTCTTGACGTCACTTAGTACAATTCAAGGACCACTGCACAACAACTTAAAAAAGAGAAAACAAAATCCCTCTTCCAGAGGTGCCTGGGTGGCTCAGTGGATTAAAGCCTCTGCCTTAGGCTCAGGTCATGATCCCAGGGTCCTGGGATGAAGCCCTGCATGGGGCTTTCTGCTTAGCCGGGAGCCTGCTTCCCCCCTCTCTCTCTACCTGCCTCTCTGCCTGCTTGTGATCTCTGTCTGTCAAATAAATAAAATCTTTAAAAAAACAAAACAAAACAAAACAAAACAAAAAAACCCTTCCAGAACAATGAATAGTTTCAATGTAAGAAATTTTTAAAATTAAAAAAAGAAATATTTATAAAGATTTTATTTACTTATTTGACAGAGATCACAAGTAGGCAGAGAGGCAGGCAGGGGTGGGGGGGCGGGAAGCAGGCTCCCAGCTGAGCAGAGAGCTGATGTGGGGCTCCATCCCAGAACCCTGGATCATGACCTGAGCGGAAAGCAGAGGCTTTATAACCCATTGAGCTGCCCAGACGCCCCTAAAGACATTATTTTTATTCCTCAGACAAGTTTATTTTTATTCCTGTGTTTTGTGAAGAAACATCTGCACTAGTAACAGTTTTAACTACGTGAACATGCTTTGGGCCACTATTAATCTTCTAATTCCAGATTAGAACTTTTCTTTATGTTTTCCTATCACCAAGCCATACTGGTTGCATATACTGAAGACTTTTATATATAAGCATGTAGCATAAAAATAAATTAGTTATAACTTTAACATGGTTTCTTAAAATATTTCTAAAAACAGATTTGGGCAAGTCTGTTTATAATAAAGGGGACACTCATTTGTCTGATATAACTGTCCAAATATGATTGAAATCAAGTTATCCATTCTGAAATATCCCAGTTTATTATTCTTCAATAAAATTAAGCTTATACAGTTGACCCTTGACCATGTTTTTGGGAAGTCAAAAGTTATACACAGATTTTCAACTCTGGAGAGGGTTAGGGCCCCCAATTCCCATGTCATTCAAAGAATAATTGTAATCTAAACTGAGTTAGTTAAAAGTTGTTCTTTTAGTCCCCAGTAGTTTGTTAAACAATGCCATAGCAAGCAAAGGAGTTGACTTCAGTATGGCCAAAGATACATTTTCAGAAATGAAAACCTTAACCTGTCAAACTGCTTTTCCAGTCAAACTGATGTTTAAATATCCTCTCTGAAAATGGTACACCAATTAGATTACCTCTCAAGAAATTATGCTACTCTGTCATTCAACTAAAATATTCAAAATTTTGATAGTAATACTGCTACAAATGACAACAACAAAAGCAAGCACTTACAAGACTGACTGTAGACTATTTGCCTTCAAGCATTATGCTATTAAGTGGTATGCACTATATTTTATTTTTATAACAAAGAACAATCTACATGCTAGTTAATTAAAATGATAAAGTCACCAAAATATGCCTATTTGTATGTAATAACAATCTCACTATAATATACCAACCAGTCTCTTATTTAACCAGTCCATGTGATCATAGGTGAGACTCCCGCCAAAATCTTCTGTTAACTGGCATGGTTCTATGTAACGAGTCAATTTATTGGCAGACACTAAAATAACCTATAGAAGTAAAAAGAAAAGAACCATTTAGCAAGCCAGTGTTAATGGCAATGAAAGCAATAAGGAGGTAAAATCAGGTTAAAATATGCAATACTGTTTCCAAAATGATGATATTATCATGTATTTGATTAATACAATATTTAATACATTAGTAGAAGCATTTAAAATCAATTCAAAAATTGTGGATATCTGCTAAGAATAAGTTATTATAAACCTTATATAATACCACATTTTAAAAAATGAGATGCAGCTGAAATGAAATATTTTCAAAATTTTATCAATATTAATAACTTCTTGGTAATAAAAATCAGTTCCTTTGATACAATGTATTCAGCAAAAAAGTTTGCATATGGCCTTAAAATTAGCTAATTACAATAAGATGATAAACACAAATAATGATAAATCTGGCAATCAAAAAATTATACACATTAAAGTTTCTATAACATTTTTTGATTATGTATTAACAAAACATGTCCTGATATAGTAAAGTAAAACTCAGGATAATATATATTAATATTTAATTTGAAAATCAGAACTAAAAAGCAAGGAGAAGTTCAGAGAATTCATAAACTTGAAATTTACATATTAACTTGATAATCTTTTAATGCTGAACTTTAAAATATTAAAACATTTTAAGTACAAATTATAGAATGACCTAAGAGATCATTGTGTGCTAAATAAAATTTCAATGAGGATATACAGGAATACAAAAGAAAATGTATGTGTGAGAGAAAGAAATTCAAATGGTAGTGTCAATGCAAAATGATACATGGACATTTTAATACCCACCCCCAAAATGTGCAAGTGAAACAACGTGTTTAATGTGCTCAGCTGGAAAAAGCACCATTTACACCTTAACAATAACAAAAGCCAGATATCAATAAAATTATAACTTCTGTGGAACTTTCTCAGAGTGCCATGGTCACAGAAAAACCACCTACTCTGAAAACAAAAACAAGACAGCACCATAGAGAGAATGGTGGAAGGGGAGCCCTACAAAGTGGCCTGAGCAAAGTTTTGGGGGATGTTGGAATTCTTCGGTATCTTGACTGTGGTGAAGGATTTATAACTATATGTATTGGTCAAATCTCATAACTACATGAACATTACTGCTCAGTAAAGCTCATTTTTAAAAAAAATTTTTTAAAAGACAACAACAAAAACACCATAAGAAGGACTTATGGGCAAACTACTAGAGAAAGAAAGAAGGAAAAGAAAAATTTAGAAATATATGCAATATGCAAAACTGGGTACATCTGTAATACATATATATGAAATTATATGAAATATATGAAATAATATATATGAAATTATAATATAAACACTAAATGAAGAGAGATTACCAAAACTGTAAACTGCTTTGGCTAAAGGGGGAGAGATAAATCATCTTAGTAAGATACCAACAACATGGTATTAGAAGTTCAAAAAAATATCAAGGAAAAATGGATCCTATCATAATTATTAAACTTTGTAACAAACTGCTAGTGATAATAATATATTAAGTATAAACCAAAAGTCTTAAATGTTTATATGAGAAAAGAAGGGATAATGAATAATGAATTAAATGACCTATTTATGAAGTTGGGATCAGAAAGTAGTGCAAGAACAGAATAAATCCAAAGAAAATAGAAGGAAGAAGGTAAAAAAAAAAAATTAATAAAGCCAAAGTTGTTCCTCAAAAAAATTAAAATAAAATTGACAAATTTCTGAGACAATAAAGAAGGAAAGCACAGATAAATAAATAATAGTAAGAAAGAAAAGAACACAGCTACATTGACAGCTGTGGTTTAAAAGATAATACAGACACAAAACAATCTTGTATAAATAATTATGTAAATTTAGAAGAAATGGACAAATTCCTATAAAAAATCATTTAACAAAACTGACATAAGAAAAAACAAAACACTTATACCAATGAAGTAAGTGAATCACTAGACTCTTTACATTTTCAGTAATCATACTATTATTGATAATTTTAGTATTGCTATTCTGAGATCATTTGATGAGGAAGAAAGCAAATGACTAATACAAGACATTTTTAACTCTGCCATTCCTGAGGGCATTAAGAAAATGGAATTATTGAGAAGAAGATGTAACAGGGAAAAAGTTACCCTTATGCTCTTCAATTTGAGTTGGAAGTATCAATTTAAACTCATGATGTATTTCATTTTGAATAAAAACATACACACTATTCTCACACACAAACCTAGTTCTGACCATTGAGAAGTTTAGAAAGATGACAAGTTCTGTAGAAATGCACACCTCTAGTACCCAGACTGTTACCTCCAAATACCATTTCCCTCTAAAGGCAATCAGGGCTCCTTGGAGAAATGTCCAATTTCAGCTCTTGGGGCTACAAACGTTCATGATGAGCTTAAATCATCTTCTTATCCAGATATCAACAGAGGTATAAAGCCTACTTGGGTTGTGCCAAAAGGCTGGAAAAGTCTTCCAATGGCAGAAGATGGAACAATTTGCATACCAATAAAAATAATAAATGCCATATTTTGAAACATTAAGTATGGTTAATTCAATGAGCTCATACTGATACAAAAGAAATTATTATTGGACTATATTGGGGAAAATTTTAATTTATTGAAAGCTAGCAAATATAGGGAAACAGGCATTTATTTCACCTTTCATATACAAACTGTACCACTGGGTAAACAATCAATGAAGGTAAGTTTCTCATTACTGACGTGTTCCAGCTAGTGAATGAAAAAAGAATAGAACTCGAATATTATCATTTTAAATCTTTACTAAATCAAGGCACTAAACATAAAGGGACATCGGCATCACAAAAAAGATAACCATTGTGAGTTTCATGATCAAGGAACACATTAGCATTAATGGATGACCTTGAAAAAGAAAAAAAAAATCAAACATGAATCTAATCAACTGTCTAAATCCAATTATCAATTTATAGAAATACAGAGATTCAAAAAGGCAGAAGAATATATTAAACTACACCACAGAGATGCTTGCTGCAATGAAAAACTGTAAGACAACAATGTGGTCTTGTCAAGAAAAAAAATACGTAAGAAAGGAGAAAGAAAAATTAACACTAAAAAGCTTTATTTAATGAATTAATATAGAATCCCACAACCAATAATAAGAGAATTATGTATCCTTTTCAAGCAGGCATTAAATATTTAAAAACTTGACTATGTATCAGACCATAAAGAAAGCCGTGGTATATTTCAAAGGAAATAAGTGATAATATTCTATCACCACAATGAAATTAATTAGAAATCAATAATTATTCAAATCAGAAATCATTAATAAGATTTTAAGACCCTATCTACTTGGAAAGGGATCTCAATCAATTACAATACGTCAACACTATTTGGATGCTGATTCAAATCAATCAATCAATCTGTGTATATGCATAATTTATATATAAACTTAAAAATGCATTTTAAAATATATTACTTATATATTTATATATAGCTCAACCCTTTTATGATATTTATTAGATAATTATAAAATTGAAACCAACTAACTCTTTGATACTAAGGAATTGTTTCTTTTAAGGTATAATAACAGTATTGGGTTTTTTGTTTTTTTTTAAAGAATCTTTATGTTATAGAGACACATAGTATAATATTTACAAATAAATTCAAATGCCTTCAATTTCATTCACTGTAATATCCCCAGTCTTCTTTGAGGGAAGTGGATAAGGGTAAGGATGGAGCAGGATGGATCATGATTTGACAGATGCTGTAACTGGGTTTAGGAATGCCTGGAGTTAAATGTAATATCTTGTTTACTTTTTTATGTGTTCATAATTCTTTATAATAAAAATACTAAAAACCTAAAATACATATATATAGACTCTCTTTTAGAAGAGTCTTTTCAGAAAGAATATGCCCAGCCAGTTTATAAGTTTTAAAAATCAAAGAACAAATCATTTCAATCTTTTTTCTTTAGAGGTTTTTTTTTTTTTTAAAGATTTTATTTATTTATCTGACAGAGAGAGCACACGAGCACAAGCAGGGTCAGCAGCAGAGGGAGAGAGAGAAGCAGACTCCCCGCTGAGGAGGGAGCCCAATGTGGGGTTTGATCCCAGGACCCTGGAATCATGACCTGAGCAGAAGATAGATCCTTAACTGACTGAGCCACTCCAGTACCCCCAGATCATTTCAACCTTAAATAAATGCTTCTAGAGAACAGAAATGTAGGGAACACTCCCAACTTATTTTATGAGACGAACATTGATACCGAAGGACAATGTGAAGAAAGAAAAGACCGTATGACTTGCAAATATCAAGTATTAGCCAATATCAAGCTAGGGTGTGAAGCAGTGAAAATTTTATATACTACAAGTGGATAGATATATTAGAAGGCTTTTTTGGAAAGCAGTTTGGCATTATCTTAAAAATCTGAACACTTGTATAACCTGTGCCTAGATAATCAGCAGAGAAAACCTCATGCATGTTTTATCTGGAGAAATGTACAAGAATGTTTGTAGCATATCATTCATAATGGCAAAAAATTGGAAACAACCCAAATGTCCATGAACAGGAGAATAAGTGCATTGTTTTTATTCACACAGCAGACTAACACTCAGCAATGAGAATGAATCAACTACATCTACTGTAAGAATATGCATGAACCTCAAACATACAATGAGTGAGAAAAAGCAGGTCAGTGAACACTAAAGTCATACCATTTTTAAAAAGCTCAAAAACAAGTAAAACTAAAATAATCCTTAATAATAAATAGTATCTTTAAATGGCAATTCTACAGATATAAATGTAAAATAATAAAAGATAAACACTCCCTATTTTCTTCTGAAGATTTTGTCCTTCACATTTAAGTTTTTAATATGTACACACACAAACACACACACACACACACACACACACAGAATGAGAAAATGAACAAAAGATGGATAAATACAAATAAATACCTTTATTTCAAGACACTGATAGCTAGGTTCTTAGGCTGGATCGTGGGTATCCAAGTGTTTTAGTTTTGTTTTGTATATACATACATTT